ACTCGGTGTACAGCTTCAACTTCACGACAGCATCTCAAATATTTTTGCTTTATAACTTACTTAAAAAAGAAGACACTGAGCCTGAAGACCAAGACTGAGATTATGATTTCCTGTCCGTAATGAATTTTGGGGTGTATGTGATATCTTACAGTAGATTTAAGAAAAATTTGCAAAGCAATTAAACTAAGGTGTTTTAAATTGGAGAAGCATTGGAAAGATTCCTCTCAAGGCTACAGCAGCTGAATATGATAGGCCTCTCGGTGGTAGCTGGGAGGAACATTCAATTAGGAATATGGCATTACAGGGACTATTGTCCTTCCCAAATTTTTTGCAATGATAGGTTAGAAAATGTTTTGAAAGTTTACGCTAACGAACGCATTAGTAGCAGTTCTGCTGGGAACACGTTTTTGTTCTTTTTGATGGTGCTTTATTTGGTGTTGTCAAAGATAGATTTGTATTTTATCTAACTCGGTTTTGTTTGTTTATGTTAATCGAAATCTTCTCCAAATCGTTATGTTTATGAATAAGGAAAGAAAGAAGCAAATATTTTCTGAAAGGGGTGTTTTCCGGTGTTTAAAATGGCGTGGCCGTAAAAAATTTAGGGACAAGCCTCCTAGTTCCGTTCCAGCCACTCCCCTTGTGGGGTGGTGCGTGGTGTCTGCGGTACAAACAAGATTGGGGCAAATATGATCCTTTCATACTACGCGAAAAGAGAATAAGAAGAGATAAGCACAATTTTTACATCAGAGAGAAGATATTATTTGCCATCCCTAACGTTTGCTACCTCCTTTATAGTATCAAAACGTTTTTAAGAAAATATTTGAATGACAAATAATTTGATGGGCTGAATGCAAATAAAAACTTTCCATAAGCAAAAAACGACTTTTGAAAGCCTCACCCAGCTTTTGCCCCGGATAAAAATTTAGCAAGATTTCATTCAATCATGCATTGAAATTTGAGAAATAAATGACTAAGATCACAGAGATCTCAAACTTGTTCTCAGAGGAATTCTACCAGGCGAGACAATGTCACGGTATCTGGCAGCAAATCCTTATTCTGCCGATGTAGAGAGGCTGATTCCCATCTACACTTTTCAAATATATGAATATTGCAATGAATATGCTTGATCTCGCAAGTTTCAAGTTCCATGAACAGCTGCAAAGATTTTGCTTCAAGAAACCAAAAACACTAAAGTCTGGAAAGCAAGACTGACATGAGGGGTTTTTGAAGGTTAAAGGAAAGAAAAAATAACTTTGACAGATATCCGAACAAACAATGTAAAAGGGTTTCTTTTAGATAACTTTTTGCTCATAAGTTGAGACATAACTATATGTTGCTAATTTTCTTATTAACCCAATTAATATATTGAAAAGAATCAGCTTCTTATACTTCGTTTATTTAAGTTTTTGCCAAATATTTGCCACGTCCATTGTGCCAATCCCAGCAAGGTACCACGCCCAATTTTTATAAGAAAATGTGGATCTGTAAAAATTTCTTATTTTAGGCCCTGAGGCCCTGCCACGACGCTATTCTTCTTGCAAGTTTTGGTGCAGAATTTAAGATGAAATCCATTTAAAATGGACATCGATAAATCTCCTTCTTAATTATTCAAATAATGATTCTATCTTGGAAGCATCTTGTCAAATGTCTGTTTACAGCGATAGAATAATCCGTGTTTGCGAGAACGAATGTTCTGTTTGTAAGGAAACTTTTGTAAATATTGATATTTCTTTGCATATCAAAATCTCATTGTTTCTTCATTTTCACTGCTACCCGATGTTTTGGTGGAGAAACTGTCGAAACTTTGAAGAATAGTGGAGCAGCATTATCTGTTGAAAAATGTTTCGTTCCCTTTGAAATTATAATAAAACAATGTTAATTGAGTTTGAGATATGACGTGATGAAATTATTTGTCAACCAATGAAAAGTACGAGAGTTGATGACGTTTTGAACACGAGACTTTCCTTATACCACGACAACATGGAGGCTGGGTGTACACATCTTTTTAGTGTTTACAGTTAAACTTTAATAGATCGAGAAAGCATGTATCGTCAACGGGTACGTAAAGCAATATAGCAGTACTTCAAAACAAACAGAGGAAGCCAACAGCCTGCTAAATGTCACGGCTAAGCTTTACGAGTTCAGACAGGAAGGACTCTTGCACTTCGACCCAGGAGGGGCTCAAACTTATAGAGCTGTTGCAAAATTTCCTGGTACAACAGAATGAGCAGATCGAAATTTTGAAAAACAGTGTCAAGAGTCTGGAAGAGGAAAGGGATGCTTTATTAAGTAAGAGATGTGTCAACGACACGTATTCCTTGAGAGATATTGCAACACAGACTGACGAGAATAACGATTTGTTTCAATGCCAGCGCAGTTTCGCAGAAGGAAGGCCAGAGTGAGTTGCCTATTTTTTCGATTCTATAAAAACAAACTTTCCAGTATGAATCCGATAACTGGCTCAGAAAATCCAATTCGTATGGTTTAGAGATAATGCTGTTGAACCTCGCGCTGAATCGCTTGTTTTGTTGGCAGATTAGATTGAACTGTCGCCATTGAAAACTTACAAAGTTTTTTATTTTTGATTTTCTGTGTCAATTTTCAAAAAGAAATTTCCACTGAAATAAGTATACCCCGTTTAGATTCCTTGACATTTTTTTAACGATGAAATCAAGTTTACCGAGTTATGATCGATATTGGTGGCTGGGAATATTTGTGGCCTAAAGTAAAACCTTAACATTATTTGCGGCGTTTTTATGTCATTCTCAAATGGGATAAAACACGTGATGATTTCGCATTTCTCACCACCAACCATTGCGAAAGTTTGCTAAATATACTAAAGTTCTGTTAAAAATTTTGGCAAGAAAAGCGTCTGAAAAATATTGAAGTTGGTACCGACCCAATTTTGACAGTATAAGAACTGTGTGACCCCCTGTCATGTAAGACAATAGAGAATGTTTTAACAGGCATGCTTCCAATTCATGTTTATTTGATGACAACTGTGTTGGGGATGTTTAAACTTGTTATGTGCAACAGTACACTTTTTGGGCAAAGGGATGTTCAAAAGTTACACTAAGCAAAGGAGTTTTTGAATTCTACATTCTGTTGCTATCCATGAAAGTTTTTTTTGTAATAAAAATTGAAAAAATTGAAAAAATTGAAAAAATTCAACATTTTGTAGGATTTTGGTCCAGGGTGTGCATATCAAATAAAAAAGGACCAAGTATGTGCCACATGTAATCGAAAAAGGGTAAAACCAAATTTTTCCCATTGTCTGAGGTATTGTGAGATTATGAGAAACATAGTATAAAATAGAACACTCTTCTTGTCTATCTTTGCAATAGAAATATTATAGTATTTGCTTATTCCTCTACCAAGCCAAGAACATATGTAATTTAGCAGATCTTTTACCAGCTTTGGTATATATTTAATTAGGGATGTGTTTATTGCCTCCAACTTGCGTGGCTTGATGATATCTTAGTCAATTGAACTCTGCCTTTGATAAACTCAAACTCAAAACTCAAACTCAAAACATTTCATTCACAGCAATAATTAACTACTACATTTCTATTTAATACTTGAACCACAAATAACAACTGAAATGAAACAATTTCATCACAAAAATGATTTAAATTAAGGATTTGTGGCTTCCAGTTGAAGAAGACAGGGAACAGATGCAACTCGCCGTAACTAGATTAGCCTAGGTTTATGAACCAAGGATTTTGGACTTTGTGAGTCACAATGTTTCAAGTGTTTCAATTTAAGAAAAAGCCTTTCAGTATGATTTATGTATCAACATCTTTCCTAAGCTCATTCAGATTTTCCAGGCAAAAAAATATTTGAAAGCGAAGGAGCCAAAATGTTAAGATTGTGGATGTTTTAGAAAGGCAAGAAAAGTTTTAGAAATTTGGTTTTTCTGGGATGGAAAATTTTTTCTATTTAAATGCTGACATGAAACGGGAAATGTCTTCTAAAGTTTTGAAATGTAGAATTTGACAGGTCTTCAAGTAACTATATTTATCTTTTTAAATACTTCATTTGGATTATTTGTTCCCATAGAAACCACAACCCAGGAAATATTCATGGTCACCAGAAAATGGATGTGGAGAAGTCCTTTAAGCAACAGCATACAAAGACAAAAGAAACTGAGGTGCAAGAAGTGGAGATTGCACTAAGTGACAGAGACTCCAGCTCATTAGATAGTGCAGATGGTGTTCCAGCCATCAAGAAGGGCAATTCTGAAGTAAGATACAATAAAGATTACGCAAGCCTGCTAGACACACCAGTGAAATCAACACCAGAAGCAAAAGGAGCTTCAGTAACCCCACAAAAGTCAATAAAGCGAACTAGCTCAATTCATGTGAAAAGGCATGATAGTAAGGGAAGAGCAGACTCTTATCAACTTTCACCTGATTTGCAAGCTGTTACAAATGATTTGCTGGCTAATAAATATGGAGGGAAAGAGAAGGCTAATAGTGCTGCGAAGGTAATCCAGGAATATTACAGGCATTGGGTCCTGAGTCGAAGCTTCAAGCGAATGAGAGCGTATTCAGAGAAAAGAAAAAAGTCAATAACTAGGTATCCAGAGAGAATATTGGACAGTGATAGGAAAAGGGGTCAAAATACTATGTATAACATTGAAAACCCTGTCCTTATTGTTGATCTAGAAAATGGCCAAGAAAAGGATAGTAGTTTATACTTACAAACGAAAGAGGAAGATGAAAACACTACTCTAGAAGCAGAAAGAACTGAAAGAACTTCATCATTTTTGAAGACTATGAGTCGTGGGAAAATTGTTGCAGATGAGAAGGGGGCTGTCAATGGTGATGGGCGTAAAATTTTGTTACCTTCAGATACTATGTTCTATTGTGGTTCTCCGAAAGAAAATAAGGTAGAAAAGGAAACCCTACTTGGGTCATCAAGACCAGTAAAGCCTAACAATGAGGCTGCATCAGTGGATGATGAGGCTGAGGAAGAAAAGCAGGGAAGTCCAGAGAGTGAGGAAATATCAAAAAAGAAAATCACAAGGTCTGACAGCTCTGATAGCTATGAAATAATTGATGGTAAGAAATTTCTTTTAAATTTCATAGGTTACTGCTTGGAAGTGACTGCAAGAAATATTCTGAAATGCATTTAAGCTTATCTTAAGTGTGTGATCACAGAAATAATCTCATCTTTGGGTTTTGTCCCAGGGCCTCCAAAACCTCTTCTCTTGCCCTGCTTATTGGTGTATTCTTTGCAAGAAATATTTTTAAGCTTGTTGGAATCCAGAAAGTTCAGTTTGATTTTTTGATAAAATCTTTCTTTGCAGCACAACAGCTCATGCAGGTTTATGCTCGAGATGCACAGTCAGTAGGATCTGTTTCGTCTGTTTCATCAGACACAATTGATGACAGGCAAGATGTGTATGACTCAACAGCATCATCAATGTTTTATGATGATGATCGTTACCCTCCAACTGTTGACAAATCTAGGAAATGGAAGTACAGAATTGGGATAAATCTTTTCAACAGGTAATAGTTTGCAAGTCTTTAACTAGTGTCCCTTTATATCTGGTTATCTTCTGACTGTTGGTTTCAAATCAATTTTTGTGTTGTATGCTGCAAAAACTATAGAACAAGAGAAGACATAAATCCTCATGAAGTACCTAGGAATATCATGTCTCTGACATGGTTTAAAAATTATCTCATAGTGGAAACGCTCATTAAAAATTTACAAAATACATCTCATGAAAATTTACTCGTGTTAACTCACATTATCACATGAGCTTGGAAACAAAATTTTTTGATTTCAAACTCATGAGTTAACTTGAGATAACATCTTATCAAAAGAAGCCGATGCGTGGGAGGGGAATGTGCTACCATTTGCACTGAGATTCCTACGCAACGCACTTGCACTGAGCATTACTTTAGATTTAAAAAACAGTTTTCTTTACTCAATGAAAAGTCAATTGTGAAATAAGAGAAACATATTCTCATTTTGAAGTTCCTTTTCCAATTGGCCGTATTCACCAAACGCATATCTTTTTTGGTAGATTTTCCATACTCAAAAACCTTAGCGCAGATCGCTAATGGCACTTCTAGCAAAAGAATCTTATCTTTCTATGCATTCTCAAAAGCAGAAGTAAAATAAATTGTTCTTGTAAGATGCCTGCCACAACTGCAAGACTCAAATACAATATGATTTCTGGTATTTCCATACTTCATTCCATCTCAAGTGGAAACTGAATCGGTACATGGGTTAATTTTGAATTCGCTTTATCTCACGCTATTTCACGCTATCCCAAGTTAACTTGAATTTAGACCTTGAGTTAATTTTCAAACATACTCTCTAATAAATACCCAGGGCTTTTGTAAAAATTTTTGCATAAAGGAGAAATCCCATGTTTTTATGTAGATTTTATAAAACTATTGCAAAAACAGATCTTGTTATTTCACCAATGATTGTTTTCTTGTTGGCAGTCATCTCAAATTTCTTGTCCTTCTCCTGAAAGAATATTTGTCTTCATTTAAAATTACATAAACTGTTGCAGAAGTCCTTGTTTCAGTTTTCTTCCACCTGTTACCTCAGCCTGGAACCTGTCTTTGCAATAAAGTGAAAAATTGATATGGATTGATATAAAAAAATAATGTTATCAGAGCTGCTTGGTGTAATGCAATCAGACCGACATAACTTTATAGCAGAAGTCAAACCCCAGACAATGGGAAAAATTGATGTTAAACAGAATATGATGATGATGATGATGATGATGATGATGATGATGATGATGATGATGATGATGATGATGATGATGATGATGATGATGATGATGATGATGATGATGATGATGATGATGATGATGATGATTTTAAACACTGATTCATTTGTTTTCATTCTAAAAGAGTTTATTAATTTTCAGGAAAATCAACTAGATTTTCTTGTAAATAGTATTTTAATAAACAAAGTGAGTGTAGTAGAACGACAAGATGGGGTAGAACTTTGGGCAGTTATTATTGAAAATAGATTTATGGCAGTGGAAGCTTGGGGGCTTAGTGGTCACAACTGTCATTGAAACAAGGACAATAGATATGGAATTTCAAACAGTTGATATAAAGAATTTGAAATATTTTCTGGTTTTCATTTTTAAGTGCACAAACACAAAGTAATTCAAATAGCTTCATTGTTTCAAAGTTAAAGATATTTGCTGAGCACATTTTTGTAGTAATCAAAATTTATGTTTAATTGATGAATGTAAGCTTTTTCAATTGAGAAAGGAATCTTAAGTTACAGATATCTCAGAAATTATTTGTTTTTACTTAGTTGAATATCAACGACATATTTTGCTATTTTAGCAAACCTGAGGATGGCATCGAATACTTGGTAGACAATGAATTGATACAGAATAATCCAAAAAGTGTTGCTGATTTTTTACGAAAGGAAACATCTATTGCCAAGCAGAAAATTTCGGAATATTTCGGTAACTTCCGGAAGGAAATGAACAGACTTGCTCTCAGGTATTCATTTAGATTAACACGTGGGACTTGAATTAGTATATGCTTTTTCACCATGACTTTCTCTTCCATTGAAAGTATAGAACAATATATACATGATTCATTTTCATCAGACTTTTAAGTATGCTCAACTGTTTTTCTCTATCACATTAAACATTTCCTCCATGCAAACATGTGAATTGCTCTTTGTTGACGGAATTCCCATTCTTTGTTGATGTTTTAAAATCCCATTCAAATACTGAATTTTTTCTGACTAGTGAATTTGCTTCATCATTCGATTTTGCAAACAAGGAAATCGACGAAGCATTGCGACAATTCCAGTCTTACTTTAAACTAACGGTATGGCTTGACTTTTATAGTCGAATTGCTTATTTTCTACATCATTAGATAGCTAGTTTGTCTGAAACAGCTGCAATCGCAAATAAAGCCATTATATATATATATATATATATGGGTTTTTTGTATATGTGGCGTATTTTCGAAATTGCTTTTTGAAGAATGCTCAAGTGTCATAAAGGTGCTAAAAGATTTGTACTCCTTGAACAGAAATAGCTTGCTAACTTTTTTTCATAAACTTGGTTCATTGTAATTACTACCCGTAGCTTTTTTTAACAATATTTTAGCCGTTAATTTGTAATTACATTGTCAATGTAGTGTGTATGAACGTGTATTTTGTAAAACCCAATTTGTTATTTTAATTAGAAAATACTTGACATTTTCTGTTTTAATTATTCAGGGAGAAGCTCAGTCTATAGAAAGATTTCTCCAGGTAACTAACAATCAATTATTGTAAAATTTACCCGAATATCAAGTGATAAATGCATCAAATTCTATCCATGTTAGCATTCTCTATGAAAGGCCTGGATATATTGTAATCTAAAGTGTTGTATTCTAAAAAGCTCTTAGAAGAGAGATTATTTTCAATGATATTTATGAAAATTTCTGTTTTAACTACTTGTCATAAAGTGTTCGATGCTGATAGGCAGAACTGTACACACTTTGGTGTATATAACAGGACAGTTTTAAATTGCAACCCCGTGTTAAACGCTTAATCGCGTGTTTATATAGAATTGACCGTGAAATGAATTGAATTCTGATAGCTTAATGTATTCCTTCATAGGTGTTTAGTGAACAGTATGTAGTCTGTAATCCAGATGGAATGACTATAAACGTTGACACAGTCCTGTTGCTAAGTTACGCCATGGCCATGCTTAACACGGACCTTCATAACGAAAACGTCAAACGTAAAATGACTGTAGATGATTTTATCAACAATTTACGAGGTAAGCTTTGTTAAGTTTGAACTGTTGTGGTATTCAGGTTATTTCCTTGGTGAAATTTGTGTTTAACTTAATGTACAGCGTATTACCTGCGTGTAATGCGCAGCGTATTACCCCCGTGTAATGCGCAGGTATCTCTCGGAATTTCAATGAAGGGTACTCTCTAGTGTAATCTTAAGTTCTCACTTATCTGAGGGGGGGGGCAATTAAATACGATTTGAATTTATATTACATTTGTTGCTATTAACATCGAAAAAATTGGCTGTAACTCGGTTGAAAAGTTGATCTTTTTTTCCAAAAAATTATATATCTACTATTTAATACGTTTTGTCAATTCTTTGACATTATTCGTCTCTAGATTCAAGTATTTTTTGTTCATTCGTCACCTTTCATTTAGGTACTGATGATGGCAAAGATTTTCCACGCGAGATGTTGCTCAACATCTACAATCGAATACAGAAGAACGAATTTTCAACCGGAGCTGATCACATGACACAGCTGAAGCAAATAGAACAAAGTTTCATTGGGAAGATACCAGTATGTATTCTTCTTTTTCTAATTAGGTCGATGGAAGTTCTTCCTTAGGCCCTGCTCATATCTTTTTGTATCTGTAGTGCCATCTGTTCGTCATTTGTGCCTTTCGCTCTGTGACATCACAAGACATTTGCTTCAAATACTTACTCACTTACACTTGAGGTGGCGCTGTTTAGTTTTTCCAAAGTAACTTCCCTATGGCTATTAGAAGCTGTCTGAGCACATGTTAATTATCTCGAAATATATATGTGCCGTCTTATGTCATTTGTGTGAAGTGAAGAGAACTTCGCTCGATTAGCCACGCGAAGGGAACCTGGTGTAGTCTTCGGTCAACTTTTAGTTTTGAATTTGAAACAGCTGGGTCTTTTTTGGCTCAAAAGCAAGCTAAGGGACTATTGGACAATCTTGAACTTATTCATGGTTGATCTATTCTTGAGCAACCAAACCGCCAACAACTTTCAAAACTTTTTTTAGAGAGTGAAGCAGTTTTTGTTTGAGGTGATATTTTCTAACTTTTATGTTAACTTAACTTGGAAGAAAAATGTTTTTGTTTGAATGAGTTTTGCACTTAAAGCTGTAAAATATTGAATACTTTCTGCGTTGCTGTGCTCATTATTATACTCTTTCAAGCTCTTTTTTTACTTTTTCTTGATAACTTCAATTTGCTGTCTTACGTCACAGTGTCCCCGTTTTCCCTTTCAGTCGATTGCAGAGCCTCATCGACAATTTGTGAAACTGTTTACTCTAGAGGAAGTCCACGATCCAAACAGAATCGACAAACCGCATATGAGACTGGCCTTTCTCTTCAACGACCTGCTACTGGTAAGTGTGCTTTGCAACGATAAACAAACTAAAGAAAGCAACGTGGATTGTTTGTCACTGTTATAGGCGTTGTTATTGTTCCGGCAACAATGTATAGCTTACAGTAACGGCATAGGTAGATACTTGATGACTACACCACAAGAGAGGTTCATCGATGAATGAGAGGTCGTTTGGGCGTCCCTGGAGATGTGTATTCAAGTATCTAGCAGTTATTGAATCGATATAGTTTGTTATTTGTTATAAACATTTATGGTGTTTTTAATTGAACTGTCACAAAATTCGCTGCATTACTTCATGTGGGAATTTTCATCCTTAATTAACACGGTGTCAAAGCATTTTGTTGATATTGTTTTACGCAGGTACCTAATCTTGTACAATATAGCATTCCTTAAACAGAAATTCACTCGATTCTTTCAAGTTGCCTTTTTGACAGCATACGTAAGATTCCTTTATGCAGTACCCGTGAGGCTAGTTATAGGTGATTTCCACGCTACTTGAAGCTGATGTTCACCCGTTACCTGTGCCATAAGAATTATCTGGCTCTCCCCAGAGCTTGGAAAAGTTGCACACCTCGGGTCGTAAAATGAATAATCAAAGGATTACATTGTCTATCTTGGGTATTTTACTTGCAGCGTTTTTGGTGCGGAGAACAGGAGCGGTTTAGGCTGTTAGTCCAGGTTTCATGCTTTGTACTAGTCAAGGAACTCTAAGTAACAAGTCAGAACCGCCTTGTACTCGACACCAAACCTATAAAGCATTTTAAGAGGGTTTCAGGGCGCTCTACAGCATACTGATAAACTGTAATTTTCATTACATTGCTACGTTTTTAGCAAAAACTCGTCCTTTATTAGAAACAGAGCCTGACTCTGAATGTTTGAACTGTGTAAACGCTCTTTAATCTTATTTTACTCCAAAATTGTTGCTCATAGAACCTGACTGTCAAGTTGCGAGCTAGTTGTTAAGTTGCAATTTTCTTTAACCTCAATTTGTTCTGATACATTCGTTTCTGCCATAAATTCTAAAGAAACCTTTTTTTGTAGTTGGCAAAGCCAAGGATCAGGCAAGGTGGTCACGGGGGTGGTCAAATAACCTTAAAAGCATCGTATAAGTTGCTGGGCATGCAGTTGGCCGAGTTTAGCAATGAACGTAAGTCTTTTCAATTTCTTTTTAATTTGTATTCAAAGTTTCAGCTTGCAGGTTGATGTCAATAAAGAGCTTACAATTCCTTTGTCGTGATTTTTATTATGAAAAATTAGATTTACTCTTTAATGCAAATTTTCCGTTTAACCAAAGGAATGCCGGTTTCAAATTTGGTAAGGTGTTGAAGGGTAAATACAGCCTAGCTTTGATGCCTATAATGCTTTTAGTAGCAGTCGGGGGTGATTGTAAGTGGTTAAGAAATTATTTATATTCTGATCTGGCACCGTAGCTCGCCTCAGGAAAAGTTCCTGAATTCTCTTAAAATACCTTTAAGCAGGGGCGGACACTTGGTAAAATATTGGGGGGGGGCAAGCCTATTGTTTTAATAAGATGATGTCACATTTCCCATTGTTTTAGAGCAAAAGACCATTGTTCTCTAAAGTATTGGGGGGGAGATCGCCCCCCCCCTTGCCCCCCCAAGTGTCCGCCACTGCCTTTAAGAACACTTTACCGTGACAGCTAATTGGAGACATGGTAATTTCGTTAGTAGTGTAGTAAGGATATGTTATTTTAACTATAAAAATAGTATTTTTATGCATGGGAATGATCTCAAGGAATGTCTTTTGCGCGGGAAGTGTTTCTCCTGAGCATGGATTTTTCTGTGAGCAAGGAAACTGTTTTCTATTTAAGTATATCGGAATTTTGATAAATATAAATCTTGCAGTGATATTTTCCTGATGGTCGCAGAAGGCATGAATTACGGAGTTGTGGGTTTTTTACGAATTCATGTCTTCCATCGGTCATGAAATTATGCATGCAAAATCTGTAGCGATTTTTGAAATAACTTTTTATAAAGGTTTTAGTTTGTGATGAGAAAGCATCTCTTCTAAAACAATCTTTTAGTTGTCTTTTTTTATCTATGATCTGATGTGAAACGTCTTGTTTTAGATTACAAATACGGCGTTTATCTACAGACAAAAATCGATTCAAAGGTACAATCTTCTAAAAACAAGCTTTTTTGTATTTGTGTATTTCTTTTGGGATGTAGAAGTATATTGGGCAAGAAGAATAATTAGTCAAGCCTTTTTGTCTTCATGTCTGTCGAGCTTTTAAATCTTGCTACTCAAGAAAATTCACTTGCGTGTGAAAATTTCTGATTTTCTTGAGCTATTACCCTTTTAAACAGATTCTTTTAAAGTATTCATTTCCAATGAAAACCAAACATCTGGTATTTATGAACACGCTGAAGCTTGAAAAGCATTTGACTAATTGATGCCACGTACCACGTAGCAGATTTTAATTACAAGGATAGTACAGTCTAATTATTTTGTTGCAACTATGATCCTTTTTGCTTTTAGACTGTAGCTCGTTTCAATCTGAAAGACGAAAAAATGCGGAAATCGTTTGTAGAAGATCTTGACGACTGTATTAGAGAGGTAAATTTTTGTGTCATTTTCCCCGATGTCGTTTAAGTATATCAAGGACCGTACCAGTCCCTTTTTTTGTTAACTTTTCAGGTGTGCGGTCAGTTTTAATTTGCATTTATCGAATGATGACTTTTCAAATCTAGAAACGCCTAATTTTCCAGTTCGATTTTTTCAGCAATATTATTTCTGCAAAATTTTCTTGGATAGCTTTGTTGTTATTTGCGTCTGCCAAGTCTCGGAAATCATTTTTAATGCGCGTTTTTTCTTTGTAGACAACTGGAATGAACAATATTCGAATAGGTACGTCGTTGAATCAGAATTATGACAATTTAACTTATGTATTGTAATATGAAAAACTTAAGGATTACAAGTTGCTATTATCATGTTTCTCTTGTGAAAAGGAAGGAAAAGAGAGTAAACAGATAAAATATGTAAGTTAAAAGGATTAAAAATGTGAAAGCAGATGAAATTCAAAGTTAAAAGGGCATTCGAGAAAAAATTCGTTTAGTTTTGGATTTTAGATACTCTTTACATTTCCATGAAAACAGATACTTTATCAAATAAAAAGAGTTCTTTAGAGATCTTAATATCTAAGTAGAAATGGTTTTTCGCTTATAATGTTCGGGAGGTGCACGCTAGACCGATTGCTCCTTTTGGTCTGGCAATGCTCTTTATTTATGATTTACAAGCACAGATTATTGTAAAATGATTTTATGAAGTGTTTTACAATGTCACACAATCAAACAATCGGCTCATGCAGATTCAGTAACTAGACGATTTATGTTTTCTATTAAAGGTGACTTTTCTAGATCATTGTCATCTTCATTACTATCATACCGACAAGAGCAAAGCAAATTTCATTTCGATCTCATTTTGTATATCTATTGTCGTTTTTAGCTCTTAGCAAATCAAAACATGCAGCCAGGGGCAACTATATTGGACCACAAAGTATGACATTGGACAGAAAGAAAATCAAACGAAAGACAGAAGGAGGGGGCGAAACTCTTAGCTTATTGAATGTCCAAATAACTTCACTGGAAGCTGAAGAACTGACTTCGAAAAACAGAGCTTCATCGATGTTAAATATAAGTGAGGCTGCGTCAGGTGCGTTGATTTATACCTTTCTGTAGTTCATCGAATCACCGTCAGTTAATCTTCACATGTTTTCGCAGCTTTCCCTACCAAGATAAGATTGCTAGCCAACTAGCAGAAAGTGCATTTTTATAGCCCAATATGAATCAGGAATCATCATCTGCCACAAGTTACTGCTGAAGCGTTTAAACGTGTCTTTTAAATTGAAACATCTCGTCCAATATCACTTTGTCTGCTTTGATGCATTTTAGTTTATTGATGAACACGCTTGATTTTGACAAATATTTGAAACCCACCTAATCTGACATCTTTTTCCTAAGATAATCCAAAAGCATTTCTCACTTTGTGGCCTGACCAAGATTTCCCACTCCTTCTTTCTCGCACCTTGTTTGATCAGATTAATTGAATTTGGTATAAAGTAAAGAAATCGTTTTCCTTTGTATGATGTGACGGGAATCTCCAAGATTTTCCATTCCTCTTCTTGCATTCCCCCTACTCTTTTCTCATATTCCAAAAACCAACCCAGCTCCTCAACGTCATGGAAGAGTTTGCAATTGGAAAAATAATAGTCTTCAGAAAATGTGGATAAACGAAACAATGGAGTGGATCAACACCAAAGAATTCAGCCTAGTGCATTTAACCTAAGGGGCCAAAGATCAAATTAGGGGTCAACGGAAGTAGTTCAATGTCATTTATCTGTAGAATGGAAGGTCGAAAAGAAAACGCAGGGATTTTCCAACCAGCTGATTGAAAAGTTTATCACATCTGTTATCATGTTTATCATTTGTTATATATTTAAATCCATTACTTCAATATTGACTATGCGTTTTATTCTTTTAGACACAGAATCGGAGCCATCTATGAGGCGGTCAAATAGTTCGAATTCGTTAGACAACGCCATAATAAACCCGGTGAGATGTTTGTAATATCATGAACAATTTGATTGATGAATGAAGATGTATCCAGGGCTTTTGCAGTGCATCATTCACCACAGAAAATACTGGATACCTCGCTGTAATTTACAGGTTTTCCTGTCATGTTTCCCAGATATAACCTAGGGTGTTCCCCCATCGGGGAATGCCGTTCGATAAGTTGAAATCTAATTTTATTACCAACAAAGAGAAAAAATCATGACCCCCTGGATGGACCATAATTGCTTTTTTGGTATCCATTTGCTTCATAACAATTATTTCTTCCGTTTGAAATGAAAAAATTTGGTAGATAAAGGAATGTCACTTTTGGATCGAATTGCATAATATCAAGTGAAATTGTACTTATATCTTTTTAGATAACGATTGGGAGTCAAAGTTTATATCAACAGGATATTTTTTGCGCGGAAATCTTTTCATGTCTGAACCATTAGGGCATTTTTTATACCTTTATCGTATAAGATATTCGTGTTTTTAGCTATCTAAGCTATTCAAATCATCTACATACTAATAGCGTAACATACTAACCCATTGATCATGCATTTACGACTTTCGCACATCCATTACAAAAGAGAAGAAGCGTATCAACAGGCTGATTTCGATCAAGAGATTCTGATTTTTCTGTTTAACAGTAACAATTGAATTTGAAAAATAACACTTTTGAATGTTTGTCTTCAACGTGGCATTGCTAACTTTCACTCGCAATTGCTTATATTTAACACAAAAGATGCGAATTCACGTTCTGATTCCCGTTAACCCATGCTCTCTTTAACCAGTCTTTAGTTTAAAAAGTTTTCAATAATTTTACTTTCAAATTTCTGCAATAGTTTAGAATTTCATCTAAAATAAGTCAATCAAAGATGAAATTGTTTCCCTGTTCAAGATCAACAAGTCTACGATGAAAAACGTTGGCACCATTTTTATTCAGATTTCTATTCTAACCAATAAATTATTTTTGTTTAACACCGTTTAGTCTGGATGTGAAACCCCTACACAATGACTCACAGAGTCTTTACCGAAATATGACAGTTGAAATTAACCGGGGGTTGCTTTCACAGTTAGAAATACGTTGATCAGGCATCAGCTTTCTTAGTCAATTAAAAGTAAAATTAAGCCAATTATAATTTCGATTCCTAAAATCATATTTATATTCATTTTATAAATATAACATATTAATTCTTAAATATACAGGGTGTCGGAAGGAGGGGTCTGCAAAAAAGGAATGCAGCTGTTATTTTTTATTTAAATCTGTGTCGTTGAAATAAAAGAACGCCCCCTCCATCTTTTGACGGCACGGCCCTGAAATAGTTTTAAATCACAAGGATAAAATTGAAATAATGATACAATTTAAATAGCTTGTATCATAAAACATACTTCTAAATCAAAATATTTTCCTAATAAAAACAAGTCATAAAAAGTATGCCAGTAATTAGTGAACATTAAGGGTGACAAGAATGCTGTTAATGTCATTGATGGCTAAATATTATCCACATGTTTATTTCCTTTTTCATCTGGTATTTCTTGGATTTATCTTATTTCCTACTATATGTGTCCTAATTTTCTACGAATTCCCAATATAAATCATAAATTTAAAAATATGTTTATACTTACATGCAAAAATCGTTAAACGACGAATTTTTAAATTTAATTTCTTGTCTTTAGCCGCGGGAACCGCGCCCGCTGAAGAAGATCCGCTCCGCGATGAGATGGATGAAGCCCGCGTCTTCGAGTAGACGCAGATCTGAATCATCTAATACTGTGATTTCTGAAGTTAATACTCGAGATGAGAGTAAAATGTAAACACCAATCATACAGTAAGCATCTTATATACATCATAAACGTTAATGTTTTTATTACGTAGCTCATACCCAGACTCCTACAACTGTGAAACTGCACTAAACGAACTTTTTCAACAGCAAACGTCAAAACAGCAAACGAATTAAAAACGTAACGTAATTTACAGTTTTGATAAGAGGTCAGAACAACAGTATGAAACAATAGCCTATCACAGCTCTAATAGTAATACTAGGGTGACAGCCCCATCCCAGTCTACCTTTGGGCTACGTTTTGTCCACAGCTATAAGGACACCCATGCAACATATCACTCTCTGCAACTAACCTCACAGGCATCTGCTATATAAATGTCACTAACTCTTAACACTGTGTTTGCTTTGCATAAATATCCTATATCTTAGACATCTTGCATCTTGAAAGGTATCTTGCAAATGTTTTGTTTGGTTTGTATCTATATGTCTTTGTGTAAAAGGGAACTAAATTCAATCTTATTTGCTTCCGTTTCAGAGATTAAAACATTCGTCTCTCCCGCGTATCAGTGAAGCAGTTCAGAATTCGTCTTCTGTTCCACGCCGAAAACACACGCTGTTTGGATTTAGTTTAAGAAGAAAAACGTCCGTAGAAAATAGTGACAGGCGTCGTGAGGTTGGAAAATCAACGTTTTTCGAAGAGGTAGATGACATAAAGGAGAAATCAGTGTAATTTCAATTTCATTGGTAAACAGATGTTTATAGATATTGAAACTGTTTATATAAATTTTAATAATATGAATTTCAGGGTGCTCAGGGGGTACTTATGTCTTGCGTAAAATATTTTTAACCTAATTTGTGAACCTGGATTATTTGAGCAAATCTGTTGAGTTTTTCACAAGAACTTCAACATCTGTATGCATCGAAAAGGCCTTTCCTAATCACCAAGATGAGTATTGTGAAATTATTACGCTAAGGCCACAGAACCTTAGTGCAAGAAGGATCACAGAGTTCTAGGCATCTTTCTGAACGCTTTTAAGTATGCGTTAGTCTTGTTACCGTTAAAAGGTCCACCCTCCCAGCCTCCTGATGTCATTTTATGTTTTACATGTATAGCTTCCAGTTTCGGATATTTTTCCAAAATTTACGGTTAGCTTCGCATGAAATATCACATTTGTTTCGAAATATATGTTTTGAATACTTGCAGAATATCCATGTAGAACTCATAAAGGAAAGTTAAATAAAGCATCATTAAGGTTTGCTTCAATTTTTGTTTTAATTTTGGTCCTTAACCCCTCAAATTAGACTGATTTTCATGTTCATTTTGGGTATAAATTATTCTATCACCCGTTTGAATCCCGTATCCATCTTTGTACCAGAATAATGAAAAGATAGAACAAATTGTTGATGGACTTTGTATATAGAAGCTTCTTGGTTAACATTTTAATTTCATGCTGCTTTGCCTTTTTTCATGTTGTTCTTGCAAATCATTCGTAGTCTAAGAGCCTGCGTTAAGCTGCCTCTTTTAAGGTTAAACTTCACCCATTCCTTTTCCCGCATTCTTTTTCCTGCAGAACTAGATCGAACAAAAGCTGATAGGTACCCCATCAATTGTAGACGGCGATTGTTTGGATACGTTTTCTACACACGCCGTGTTTTGATCCACAAACGACCGAAACTGGGTTTGTACGGTTTCAGGTCCGGTATAAGCAGCCGATATAGATCGAAAAGCTCCCCAGATTCAGTTCTGTTGGAAGACAATTATGATTTGTAACGGTACCGAATCAGAATTCATACAATTCCCAGAATAATAGCATTTTACCTAGAATTCGATTTGATTGTTGTAACAGTGCTCTTTTGTAGGCTAGGCCGATGCTAAATAGATTCCGATCGTCACGACTTTCATTATATCCAGTTTCTTTCGAACAGAACCCAATCGTCTCAACAGAACCCAATTGTCTCAACAGTAAACTAATCAGTTCTCTTTCGAATAGATACCGATTGTTCCGACTTTTGGTATATCAGGTCTCTTTTGAACCGACACCGATTGTCCCAACGTCAAAGAAACACTGTCTCTTTCGATACTTACGCGAAGATGCTAGCAAAGACTAAGTGAATTTGGAAACTGTTTCAACGGTCAGTTAGCTTTAAAGATTGCTCCAGATCCTTCCATGTCTCGAAATAAATTTTTTTCACTCAGTGTTCCATTATAAAAGACTTCATGATAATACATTCCTCAGCATTTTGGTATCTAGAAATTTTCCCACCTTATAATTAACCAGTATTGAATGATATCAATAATTTGTTTGTAATAACAATAATTAAGATCTCTTATAAATTCTTAGAAATGGAGTTGTTACCAGTGTAAACAATGAAAGGATTAATTCACAAGAATATTTTTGTATGCATCTCTCTTAAATTCAGTAGCCGATGTTTTCCAGTGAAGCTAGTTTTTCTGGAAAAGTATGAAATTTTGGAACTTAATTGTATTTTCTTTTGTAATTGTCACCAATTCCATAACAAAACAATTGTGTGTAAATGTTGATTTTTCCGTAATCCCTGTCTCAATTTGAATTTCTATGTGATTTTTGACATGGTTATGGATCTAAGCATCCACTATGTCCGGATCTACTGCATCAATGTAGCATTTCGCTCCTGAGCACAATCTAAAGATACTTAGTAGCACAACCCATATGTCAATCAACTATTGGACACTCAAAGAAACGCAAGTAGAGTCATTGACAAATTAAGTATCCGTCAATTGCTTTTTAACTGCCTGACTAAACTACCAATAAATCCTTTTTAGTAGTCTTGAGCAGGGTTGATGGTGCTCCCTCAATTTTTTAGCCCCCGAACAGAAAATTCCTCAGCACAGTCAATTCCTTTTCCCTTGTTCATTTTAATTTCATTTTATATTTTTAGATGACAGTAGTCTGTTGAGAATGCTTTATGAGGGACCTTGCTGCAAATTAAAATATAAGGAATTTCAATAGCGAATTCCAAAGAAAAGATGAAAGAAGAATTAGAAGCAAGCCTCTACAATGTTTTCTCCAATCATTTCTTTGAAAAAAAGAGAAGCTGCCTGTTTGCGTATCTGCTCAATTGGTTCCATACCTTAGCCCAACGAAATATACCTCTGCCCATTGATGTTCTGAATAGAGGAACGCACAAGTCTGTTTTACTTTTTCATGATCTCAGTGTTTCTTGAGCTGAATTTTCTGGAAACAGTTTTGGTGCCTAAATTTTGTCTTAGCGTGTCAGCTGCTAAGCCAACAGAGCGCATGTTGTACTTACAGCATGATATGATCCGAAAGAGGGTGTGTTTCCTTATTTGGAGAGATTCTCTCAATGGAAGAGTGCTCTCGGGGATAGGTTTCGCCTTGGTTATATTTAACAGCTGTCAGAAACCCACTCCTTCCCAAGTATGCACTGGTGTGCTGGGGATGAAGTCACAAGGGGGCAAAGGGTCAAAATGGCGCCCCGCATACCTTCAAATTTTCCTTCAAATTATTGGAAATTTGCAGAAAAGTACAAGAGTTCGGAAGCACACCGATCTATATCTATCTATCTGAGACGTACTGAAAGACCTTCAAATGAAGGGAAAAGGGGTAGTTAACTGTTGACAGGACGTGAAAGAAAATTTTCAAATAGAGTATGTTATTCTTTGTAAAACCTAACAATTGCTGGAAAATGCACTTTTTGAAGCACTTATTCAATAACGCAAGCTTTCTCTTCAAAAAAAGTTCACAGACTCAAAGCTATTTGATGGTTAATATCGATTTTCTGGTGTCGTTGCTAGATATTTTTGCTTATGCAACACAATTTTCTTCAGATTGGGACATAATCTCTCAGCTTTTTTTCCTAGCATTGCTTTTCATTTAAGTAACTTGAAACTCCTTGCACATTCTCTATAATTTTATGAAGTGATGCCTAATCTGAACTTTTACCGACAAGCCAAAGATTTTTGGTGGGTTCCTCAAAAAAAACCCACACCCTTTCCTCGGTACGCCCATGGTAAGAAAATCATTTAGATTTAGTTTGAGATCTTGAGATGGTGTTTGACGATCGTTGTTTAGTGCATCAAAGTTAATAAGAAAAAGGGATTTCTCTTCGAAGCGATTTATCGTGGATGGTTAAACAGTGTCCGCCTTTTGTATTGTTGGGTTCTTTTATGTAAATTGTCCGCGGTTGGGCTTGTAAATGCAAAAAAAAGTAACCCTTTCTTCTTTTGACTGTTATTTTTTGAGACACTTTGCTGGGGCAAATTTCATTTTTCTCTGTGTATAAATTTAAAATAGAAGATGGCGGTGTCGGATGGGTGGACCATTTATATATACATTAACTGGTCCGTTTACTTTTGCTCTGATTATGCCCAACTATAGTTTTTTCGTCGTTTGTTCTCGCGTGTTGCGGTGGTTCTTATTTTCAATGAACTCTTATACCCTCTGCGAGGGAGGGTTAGACTACTATGGCCTATTCGTCCTCCCCACTGGGACTACCTCTGACAAAGCGTCCCGTGGGAAAACGAAGGACTAGAAAATGTCTGAAGAAGAAACAGATAAAACTGATGGAATCGTCTGGAAAACTTCTAAGCCAAAACTTATATCAAGAAATTTATCGACAGGAAATCTACAGAGTTTAGAGAAACAGCCTGCTGTTCTCGAAGCTACAAGCATTGACCTACCAAAACCTGCTGAAGTGCCAAAAAGGTGGGAAAGAAAAAGAAGTTTGGCTTCCTTGCTTTCAATGCCGAGTATACAGCCCCAAATTGAAGGAAGGTCCACGTCTGAATCATTCTTTAAAGAGTTTGCAGAGAAATATGATTCAAAGATAGCACAGGGGTCACAAGACAAAAACAAGAATTGATCCCGCACTCATTGGCCTAAATTTGGAATAAGTCACCTTTTTAACACAGCACAGCATGTACGCAGATTTTCGCATGAGTTTAACAGAGCTCTTCCAAAGCTCAAATACATTTGATATCTTTTGGAAGGGCAAATAAGATGAACTCACATCATAATATTTTTGAAATTCAATTAACCTGAAACCTGCACCTGGCTCGTCAGTGTGACCCAATGTCATCCGCCCACTCTAATCTTTTTAAATAATCTTCTAAATTTGATAAACTTGTTAAGTAGGTGGCCACACTGATTATTATATTGCCATTCTATCAATTATAGCCTTGCCATGCCCTTTCGCAGAAAATGTCACAGAAATTTAAATGCAAATTAATGAACAGTATAGTTATTTTTTACATTGTGTGTATTCTTAGTACATTTTATCAGCTGTGTCACTGATCCTCGTCTTGACCCAATCAGAAAGCTTTAATTTGTTTCTTTAAAATAGCTTATAGGTTTCTTGTTTCCATTATGCAGAGCCTGGCAATTGCCCACTCAAGATTCAGACTTGTTGATATTTAGGGTGCACCAATAAAGAAGATATTTTAAATTATAAACAGGAAAATTTTTTGTGCTGGCACACCTGGCATTTTCTTATGACCCCTGATATGTAGAGCTGTTGATGCACCCAGAATCTTGTCAAAATGGGCCATACTCTGCAAACTGGCCTGGTTTCCCTGTGTGAGATGATTTTCTGTTAATCTAAGCATTTTCTTTTTTGTAAACCATTTTAAGCCTGATTTCCACTAGGCGAATTCTTTCACGCAATCAAATAAATTGTCGTAGCGATAGAGTAGGACCATGATCTACTTTCTGCGAATCAAATTTTTTGCTGCGAAATTTGAGAAAATAACACCATACATGCTCAAATTGAAAAAAAATTCAGGCAAAAGAATTCGCCTAGTGGAAATCAGCCTTTATGATCACATTATATCAACATTTAGCAGTAAATTTTCATTTATTTGTTCAAAATTGTCTATTTTTAGCATAAGCATGAAAACTTTTTTAATGCACAATAATGCAGGGAGCCTATTACAGGTTTATAGATTTGCAGGTTTGACCTTATTTTTGATTGAACCTTTCCAAAGACAGATGAAAATAAATTCTTAAGCTGATTTTATGCAGAAATCTGTAATAGGTCTCCCAAACAAACATCAAAACATGTTTTGTGTATATATAACATAGCATTCAAATTGTAAAATATATCTATTTAAATTTCATTTGAAAGAAATTGAAATGTGTTTCAATACTTTTATTTTTGTCAATTCTTCCCTCTGCCAGGGTCAAAAATTGTTATGCTTGTATACTCCAGGAGCTGATCCTGACTATAACAGCTGTAGCTCGAGCTATAGTCAAAATCTCTGTGTTTGATTTTCAGAAGTCAAAGTTTCCTTGCAGTCCCTAAAATGTATTTATCCCCACAAGTGTTTATTCTTTCTCTGCTATCAAGCCTATCAATATTTGAAAACAGCCTATCCGCTTATCAAATACGATCTACAAATATATGCTGGCAATGTGTCATCACAATGCTTCCGAAATATTTCAAACAATGCTACAGATAAGATATAAAACACTGAGCAGAATGGTCTAATAGTAAAACATAGACGAATCAGAAATTTCATTCTTTGTTGACAGTAACCAACCAGCATTGAGCTATAGTGGATATTCCAAGCTACCCCCCTGTTCCTTGTAAAGCAACATTGGACTATAGCTCGTTTTCACAACATGTGTCCCCTGTAATGTATCTTCAAAGGCAAGGACCTACTAGGAAATAGACAGGGACGGCGAAACGACAAAGTGGCAAAAGGGGGGGGGGCAGGCTTGAGTGAAAAGGGCATTTGAAAGATAATTCTCAGCTTCTACAAATTTAGCATAAGGCTAACTTTCGGCATAAGGAATTATTTTACAAGTTATGAGACGTCTAGAAATTATTATGAATTTGTCTGACTATTACAAATGGCCGCTTTCAAGGGCAATTTATTAAAAAAGGAAACTCTGACACCTTTGCCCCTCCTATCAAAGGACAACAGGGGCGGTTGAAGCCCACACCCCCTTCTCCAGCGTCCCAGGAAATAGAAAAAAGAAAGTTCGAAGCAATACTTATGAATACGAAGCGACCATAAACACACATGGTTACAGCATTTACCCATATAGTGGGCGTGTTCCACAAGCAGAAAGGCGTGTTCCCAATCCCAAAAGATTTGAGCTATAGTCACAAAAAATCCTGGATCCGCCCCTGTACTCCCTTAATGCGTATAGACTTGTTGCTATATAGTAGGACTGTATATCACATCATTATTCTAACCTTAAACTTATATATAACCTTTAGTTAATTAAGAATGATGAGTCAGTTTATATTCTCGCTACGAGTCGCACGATATTTCTGTCTTGCTCTCTGCTCTGACGACTACTCGAAATAATAGGTACAACTAGACCTATTATAGCTATAGGGGGGCATGTGGGGTGTGGCATCCCTTTTAAACAAAATTCCATTGCAGAAACAAGGAAGTGTTTGCCATTATGTGTTTTTTCGGCAAACTTCCAAACTTGCTCGCAAATAAAGGATGACTCACCAACTTTGTTGACAAATGGGACTTGGAAACCCTCCTTGAGCACAGTAGCTAGCACCAGGCCTGACTGTGCATACTTTTTGAATGTTATTTTAATGGAAAAAGCCCTTTTGGTTTGATATTGGCATCTGTAAGTTTGCAAAGCCTCCTTTGTCAGGCAGTGGCAGGCAAAGTTATTTTGATGGAAAAAGCCCTTTTGGTTTGATATTGGCATCTGTAAGTTTGCAAAGCCTCCTTTGTCAGGCAGTGGCAGGCAAGCTGGAGCCAGGGGGGGGGCTTTGGGAGATTTTTGCTGAAACATGATGTTAGTTTTGCGGCATCCAAGATAATGTTGAAAAAACTATGCCATAAAAGTTTGCCAATTTGTCTAGAGCCCCAGCCCTACACTGTGCTCTATGGCGCGCCGTTGCGGCAAAAAATGATGCGCGTCCGTGAGTTGGCCGCATGCGCAGCACAGCCAATCAGGGTTCGTCAGAAAACCTATGGTGCATTTGTTTTTTATTGCACAGCAACAACAACCGATTACCGTTGTTTGTAATGCAGTTTATTTCAAGAGGGAAGGGAAAGTGAGATATTTACTTCCAGTCGCCATTGGATACATTAGTGGCCAAAAGCTTTTAAGGTGTTTTTGAGTATTTTTGTCTATTTTACGTTGGTCAGTAGAGTAGAGTGTAACAATTGGAATTAGCACCATACTGTTATTGTTAGGGCAGGGAAGCAGTGCATAAATATACTAAGATTAGACAATACAACCATAAATGGTTTTCGTAACACTGAATTTAGAAAACTGAATGACATTCAAAATTTAATTTCAAATTATTTGTTAGGCGAGCTAAAAATCTGAATTTTATTCCATGAGTTGTTATCTGTAAATTTTTATGTGATATCCTATGTTTTATGTTTTTCCCTCGGAGTTTAAACAAATGCAGAATTTTACTTTACTCTATACCCCTTTCTTCCCTAGCTCTATTTATGAGCTACAAGTAGCTTGCTCGATTAAGTCTTGGTTAACTAAACAATTTAGCGATTGTACAGCATAATTTATGAATTCGAGGGTTTTTTCAAAATTTTTGTTAACTTTCTTCAAGAGTGCATTAACATCCAGGGTGACTCCATACAGATTGCATCCCATCCAGTGTACATTCTAGCCAGGGTGCGAAAGGCCAGGGCTAGAAAAGGTGTAAACTTAAGACTAATCTTATTGTGAAAACAGACAAAAGTCTCCCAGTGGTAGAAATTTTGGGGGGCATGGTAGACTGAGGCCTCCCAGTCAGCGTTATCATTTGAAAATTTGGGCTTTTGGCATGTGCTTTCTGATTTAATGTTACAAATTTTAAATCAAGATGTTATCCTTTGGGAAAATCATAGGCCTGAGCCCCCCCTAAACAAAAGCCTGGATTGAGAAACCCCGTAGACACTGCTACATCATATTAAATTTGTACTAATTTGTACATGAGTACATTTGACTCTGCTTATAGTCAAAGACAGAGATACATCTTTTTGTTTTGAGGAGGTTGCAGCCTTGATAAATAAATGTAACACTGCCATGTCTTACAAAATAAAAACATTTCGCATATTCTACCTTGCTTATAGTCACATCAAATGTTGCTTGAAAGCTGCAACAGTAAGTGGGGCATGTCTGTTAACAGTGTTTAATTCATGAGCAGCATTAGAGGGGGGTTTGGGGGCTTCAGCCCCCAACCTCTTTGCACAAGCATCTTTTTGTAAAGACAGAAAATAAAAAGAAAGATAGAAGAAAAGAATAGTGCAATAAATCCTTTTATTGCTTAATTTCTTCAGGAATAGTCAAGGTCTATAGTTCCTCATAAAGTAATGAATTCCATTTGAAGACTGGAAGTAATCAATTGTAATAAAAGCATGCCTAAAAAATGGTAAAATGTTGTAAACGGTTCCAAAAAGTGACTACAAGAAATGTTCTGAAATGTATTTTGAGTTAATCTCAAGGGTGTGGTGGCAAAAATTTTCTGCTTGCTTTGCTAGCAAAGGAAGACTTTTCTTTCTGATGTACCTTTGGCCTCTGACAACCTCTCATCAGCCCTTCTAATGAACCACATAATGACTGTCCCATAAAATCATAGGCATGAATTATCATGAAGCATTTTAGTGCAATTCTCAAAAAAATGGGTTTTTAGTCTAATATTGCTGTCAACTCGACCCCCCCCCCACCTTAAATTTCTTGGTGCCGCCCCTGTTATTGAGAAGTTTTGCATATTTTGGTCTTAATTTTATGTGACAAAGAGCAGAGTGACTATAATAAGAGTTAGCTCTACTCTACCTCAGAAGCCAACAAAGCTGATCTCATGTCAATGCATCACCAAATAGTATAGCTTCACACCAAAAGTTTTTTTATTTTCTAAGTGAAATGCTGTCCAGCATCCAATATTCCAATAAAAATATTCCAAGTGATTAGTCTATATTTCCGCAATAAGCATGGCAATGTCATACCTTTAATGTAGGGTTTGCATCCAATGAACGATTGGTTTTTTATGTGTTACAATTTTTCAAAAAAAATTTCTTATTGTATAATATATTGCTCAGCCTGCGCCTATAAAACTACATTCTTTTCATGCAGCTCCCAAAATTTGATGGCAGAATCAACAGCAGAAATCAAGGAAAAACTTCCGAAACCACTCTTCATCAATGGGAGGTTTCAAAATTCATGGGGGAATCCTGGGCGACCTGGAAATTGGGAGGCACTGAAGTTTTTGACAGTTTACAAGAACAAAACCAACCTGCCAAGCCAAAAGGTATAATGACTCGTATATCAAGCTTCCAACTCACTTGTTGACAATATTGATTATAATGATGATAATCATGAAAATAGCAATCAGTCTTCTTGAGAGTGATGAGGAGTGTGAGTTTTCGAATAAAATACAGACTAGTACAGACCAAACTGATTTTGAACAAAGTCTAATCCAAATCCTCTGTCCTCCCAATTCTGTGGGGGCCAGTGCTGTCTCTGTGCAAGCTAACCTAAAACAATCCCTTCAAGATTTATGCAGGCCCATTGCAGGAGTCTGCTGATTCTATATTCTGCCAATTGCACTTTATTCTGACAGAAGCCACAAAATAAGGTAGTGTTCTTCGTAGGCAGAACAGTGTAGGAACTTGAGCCCCCCAGGCAATTTTCTAATGGGGCACAAATGCACTAATGGGGCAAAGTCTTTTTTGCAAAAAGGATATCTTGGGAAAGACAAACAGTTTTGAAATAATTTTGTTTTCATAAAGTTTTTTACTTTAGATTCAGATGAAGAACAAGAAATTTAGTTTACATGCAAGTTTTCTGGATGCTAGCGCTTTTGATTTCATGAAGATTGATGATTGGCGACAAAGACAACCACCCCCTCCCCCCCCCCCTACAAAGACTCATTACTATCGTTG